TAATTCAGGCAAATAGAAAAAATGCTGTCTATGAATGAAATAGCTTCAGCTATGGTAACATCTACTGAGTGGAAACAGATAAATATCGTGGAAGTAGAACATCGATCTTAAAGGCAGCACCATCTGATGTTGATGTACTGAAAACTTACTCTGGACGTCTAACTGACCAATAAGAAACAACAAAACAGTATCTAGAAGATACTGAAGTGATAAAAAAACCAGTAATATTATAATTACAACATTCAAACTTACTACTAACTCATTCTTCTGTCTGACACATCCAGATGTTTGGCTCTTCAATACTGGATCCACATCTTTACATCCACTCTTTGCAAATCCCCTATCAACAAACCACGAGTAAGCGCCTGTTTTCCACTTTTTTTTTTCTCCAATCACACTTATCCCTACTTACTTCTCACATCACCGTGTTTTATCTCGTCATGCCTATTGCTTCCCCTCTCCAGTGGTTCAGCGGTGAGTCTGGAGGTTTGTACCGCGAAAAACTGGGTTGCAATATCCGTGGTGGGTACAGCACACATAGCCCATTGTGTAGTTTTTGCTTAACAAAGAATCAAAAACAAAAAACAGCTTTTGCAATCTTTCGGGTATTTTTCTCTTGAAACATTACAGCTCGAAGGATATATTTCAGTTTTAAACAGTTATGAAATAAATCATTTGGTGAGAATTTGGAAATTCTAAAAAAAAAAAAAAGTCACACATTTCTGTTATTTAAATCGCTGAACGAAGACAAGGGAAACGACAAACTTCGTCTGTTGAAATTAATTTTCATTTAGATGACGCCCCCCAGTAGCACAGCGGAATCTCTGCGGATTTACAACACTAGAAACCGAGTTTCGATACAGGTGGTGGGCAGAGCACAGATAGCCCATTGTGTAGCTTTGTACAACCAAACCAAACCATTTAGATAACAAGTGGCCCAAGTCGACTTCTGTGGCCTTCTCCCACCGTCATTGCTAAACATTATGATAGACTTTACCAACACATTCTAAAGTTAAACAAGAAACAGTTGGCCATAACTTCCGTATAAATAGATAAGTACATATTTCAAAAAGCAGGCAAATAATTCTAAAATCAACAGACATATAGGTATAAGTAAGTATGAAAATCGGTAAATATATAGTGAAATAGGTAAGTTAGTAATATATATAAGTGGTAAATAGATAGATAGGTCAGTAAGTAACTAAGTAAATTGAATGGTAGGTAATTAGGTAAAATAAGTTGATAATTAAATTAGGTAAATCAGTGATTACGTGGGTAAGTAAGACCATAAATAAAAAGTAGGTAAGTCGGTTACTAGACAGGTAGGTAACTAGACAAGTTAGTAAATATATTCAGCAAAGTGACAAGTAAGTAAATAATTAAATTTATATATACAGTTTATGTTTCATTCCATGCTGCTTTCCGGTTTAAAAAAAACAAAAACAGGCGCCATCTGTTGCAAAATATATCAGAAAATAATAACATAAAATTAAAAAAAGCAAACAAACTATTCTATTTAATTGTATTAATATATCTGAAACATTATGTAAACAATATGTGGGAAGTTCACAGAATGAACAAAGTCCAGTACGTCGTTTGATAAAAAATTATCAGGTTTATATTGAAATGGAATATTAATTAAGGAAAAGCATTTGAGTCGTTGTGTTCCTCTCTATTTTTGTACTTATGTTCATCCTGTGGCGGCATCTAGTGTTCGTTATTTAACTCGCTGTTGATATGGTAATAGATTTTGTACTGCCTCCCGATGCCTCAGCAGTGAGGATGAGTTAGTTTGTTTGTTTCAAGTTAAGCACAAAGCTACACAATGGGCTATCTGTGCTCTGCCCACCACGGGTATCGAAACCCGGTTTCTAGCGTTCTAGGTCAGCAGACATACCGCTGTGCCACTGAGGGGGGGGGTGTGAGGATGAGGGATTATAACATAAAATTTTAGTTTCGACACGGTGGATAGAGCACAGACAGTACATTATGCAGCTTTGTGCTTAACAGCAACCAAAAGCTTTTGCACTATGTTAAAGAGTTAAACGAGATCTGATTGAAGCGTTTAAGAATGGTAAGCAAATAAATAGTGTCAATGTTTCATCTTTCTTCGCACTTAATGATGAAAATGACATGACAAGAGGTCACGAAAATAAATTTTGCCATGGTAGGAGTCATGTTACATAAAGACATCTTTATTTTTCTTTAGAATGGTTTGTTTTGTTTCAAATTTCGCGCCAACTGTCCCAAATCTAGCAGTGATAGTCTAAGGGGAAGACAACTAGTCAACATCACCCACCGCCAACTCTTGGACTACTCTTTTGCCAACAAATAGGAGGATTGAGCGTCAAATTATAACGTCCGCAAGGCTAAAAGAGCGAGCATATTTGATGACAGGGTTTCGATCTGGCGATCCGCAGATTGTAAATTGAGCGCTCTAACCACCAGGCCATGCCAAGCCCCTTTGGAATGAGTTGTCTTCATTTGTGGTGGATGCAGTAAATTTAACGAAATTTAATGGAAGGCTTGAAAAATATCTAAAGGATAAAACCAGTTTTTGATATATCATTATTCATGTTAAAGTTTAGTTTAGTGGATGGGGTATCTTCGATGGACCAAAAGACCCTTATTGTCCATAAATGTTATGTTATGGAAGAATATCAGGAAGTATTAAATATTCAGAGAGTTTGTGGCGTCATTTACCAGAATACAGCAGAAGTAAAAAAATTATTTTGTGCAATACAATTTTACTATGAAAAATGTGATTAAACTTGTTGTAATCTTTGCTATAGCGATCCGCTTCTGCTGATGATGTAATGATCTAGACATTTCGTGGATTATGTAGGAATAAGGATATTGTTACGTCTCTGTTCGTTTGTTAATTTCCCGTAAACATTCTTTCCGAAAAACTTCAGCGATACAAATCCTTTCTTAAATAAAACTAGTTTATTCTTTCTCAATACAACTTTGCAATACACTTAATTTTCACAGTCACTTTAACTTAAACACACGCTATAATTCACAACGATTCACGCACTTTACTTACGGTCACTACCGCTCGCTTGACTCAATTATCTGTCTCTATATTTATCTATCTGCTATTTTTATCTCCGCTTTATTTGCCGGGCTTATACACAAAAATAAAGGGCGCCTGGAAAAGACAAGAGTTGCCAGGACAAGTCAAGATCTTTCGAGAATCTCATGACATGATACCAACGTCACGTGACTTCCGCTGTCGTAACAATATATTAATGATAATTATAAGAATCAGTGAAGTAAGGAGCAGTTATTGAGTATTCAGTTACTAGATCAGTTAGCGAGAAAATTCTATGAGTAGTTTTTATGAGTTAGGCATACTTATCACCAGTCTTAGAATATTTGTTTAAACTTTGTTTGTGCACTTAGGCCTAGAAGTAAAAAAAGCCTTAAGTAAATATTAACAAATAATCCAAAAGAATCCGCCCAATGTTAGAATACACCCCAACAAACTGATTAAAAGTTATTGTTGTAACGTAGTTCTTTTGTTTGGCAGGTTCTTTTGTGTTATTTGGTAAAAACTATGCAAAATCCAACCCATTTAACAATAACAAATTAATTTATTTCTTCAATAAATGTTTACTACAACCACCTTCACTTGTAGGCCTAAGTTCACAAACACTTTTTAACATGAACTCCGAAACTAATGTGGGCCTGAATTTAAATACAACGTTTAAATATAGTTGCGTCAGCGAGATCACGTGACTATTCTCACGCCCTCTGCTTTCTAGAACTATCCTGTACCTTGGCGAATGCTCTAGCATTTACTAGATATAGGGTAGTCTGGTATATAAAAGAGGGTGACAACGTGACAGAATAATGTGTGTGTAGATACTGAGTAATTGAACTGCAGTCAGAAGTATTGTTGACGTTCGTTGATATAGCGTTTCCGATACACTTATTTTCAACAGTCGCTCTATAATAAAGTTG